TTTTTACATGGTCACTTGGAGATACAAATTTTACCTTCTTGTATTAAAAATCACTCACTCGTTCTCTACGCTCACTCGTGAGAGATCTTTTCAACACTCAAAGATAAAATCTGTATCTCTGCGCGCCCATGTAATATCCTCTATTTACATAATTGGATGTGGCTATCGGGCAGAGTTCTTCCAGTGTCCCTATTTGATATTATGTTGATCTTATTTGTTTTTGCTATTAACAMTGCTTMCATCCACTTCYTTTGGTGCCACCTTGTCTCGTTTCTTAAGACGGAGGTATCCTTCCAGTTAATATTGTGACCAAGGTGATTGACATGGTCTGACAGTGCAGACTTGTCTGTCTGGCTTAGTCTGACACACCTCCTGTCCTGTGAGGCTCTAGTCTTCAGAGATCTCTTGGTCTCGCCAATGTAGACAGTAGAGCAGCCAGCGCATGGTATTTGATGAATAACACCTGTTTTGTCATAGTCGTCCAGTCTGTCCTTAGGCTTCGAAATCATGCTTTTGATGGTGTTTATTGATTTCACTGGTACCATAAGGTTGTGGTCTTGCAGAATTCTTTTGACCCATTCTGTGATGTTCTTAACGTACTGTATGGCAAGACTGCAAAACCCTTCTTAACATTTGGTTCTTCTTGTTGTTTTGTATCATTGTTCATGTTATGCTTATATTTATGAATAAACCGTTTAGGATAATTCATAGTTCAACAAATCGAACGCATCATTTGTGCGCGCAGGATTGGCCAGAAAAGATGACACGTAATGGCAGCCATGTTGTCCCACAAAAAATGTAAACAGAGTGCAAAGTGGAGTTTTGGTTTTGAGGTGTTGCTGGAGCACTTGTAAAGCAGATGAGCGCTACACAGCCAGGTAAAATGGAGGAAGATTTATTCTGTTCCCTAAGTCAAAAACTAATACAGAAAAATGCTTGAAAATATGGATCCCAAGATGTGCGGACAAAAGCACGAAGTCCTAAATGTTAACGCATAATAATAAAATCCTTTCTCTAGGACTTTCTCAAAAAGACTTAAATGTTGTTAGCAATTAAGAAACAGAAATATTTTTGGGAATTTAATCGACAAATCGTCGGAAGACTGTGTCATTCACGAAAACTCGAGAGCATTTGTGGAACAAGCCGGGCAAGCCGCGAGCACTCCATTTCCATGCTTTCTTCTGATTGGCTAATCGCACGCTCACTCTTGATTTGTCAGAACCATGAATTATTTAACGATAACGACCTTAAGACCTCCTAGACCTCTTGGCCTCGTGGGCTACGAACTGATAGCCCATTTGTCCTTCGACCTCATGGGCTATCATCTTGCAGTCTACTTGCCCCTTGCCTCGAGGTCTAATTTGTAAATATACACCATTTATTCCCTCCCCTCCCCTCCCCTCCCCTCACCCATACTTGTTTATCGCGACCTACATGTACTTGATTATCGTCAATGTTATGTATGCGAGCTTTGTAAGTTGAAATGTGGAATTTTGTGAGCGCAACCACTCTAAGGCGAGACAGTATTAATAAATGTATAAACTTCCGCTTGCAATAACCGTATAAACCTAACCTTCGTAGAGACTACAGCTGTAAGTTTCAGGTTCAAGCTTAACTTGTTTACACAGTTTACACTAGTTCTTTACATTGAGGATTTTTAGTTATTGAGGTACCTTCAAGTTTGGCGATAACGTTGGCATCAATGGCGAGCTTCTGCAAATAAATCTTAGTAGGTTTCTTCATGTCATTTGCACAAATTATCTTCWCTTTGCGTTCAAAAGCAAACTGAGCAGCACGTTTTGTCTCTCACATGTGTGAGCCGGCAATGTAGGGTACACAGCGGTACTACAAAGGGAAAGGTAAGTTTTCAAGTATTAAATAGACATGAACCATGTAGTGCTCCTGGAAAAGACGTGATAAATACGACATTGTTTTTTCTTTTGACTTAATCTACTAGATAAATAGTACAACCCTTCTTCGATTTTCCGTTGGGAGACTTAGAAGGACCTGGGTACGAGAACGTAAGTGTACATGATCAGAAAATTACAAACGYAACGCAMAGAACTMTGGGATTTGTTGCTGCCGGCCTTGGTYGTATTCAATCGATGAAAGCTCTGAAACAAGTCATTTTGTAAATTAGAAATTTTTTCTTGGTATCAATACCATTACTGGACATTTACCACAAAACCGTTTGAAAAATAGCTGTGAGAACTATCTTCTTTCCACTATGGCAAGGAATGGTGACATCACTGTGAAGACGCAACCGCAAAACATCAACGAAAACGAAAATCGCCCGTGTCTTCCTCTAGCGTCAAGGCTTTTCCTTTACGGACTGACCGGCTTATTTGCTGAAGTTATGTTCACAGCAACATGGTATTTTGTTGATTCGGCTAAGTACCGTCATGGATGGAAGCTTCACGGATGCACATCAGTGTGGTCTTTCCCAATTTACTCTATCTCTTCATATGTCATAGAGTTGATGTTTCGCTACTTGGATGGCCGTGTCCCTCTAATAATTCGAGGCATTATATACCTAGCATGGACGTACATCTGGGAATTCATGACGGGTCTTATCCTACGCCAATTTAATGCCTGTCCTTGGGATTACAGAGGCTACACGTATTTTAATATCATGGGACTCATCACATTTGACTATGCACCATTGTGGTTTTTTGGTTCTCTTCTTCTCGAAATTGTCGTAATTCAAAGCGCACTACAACTCCGTTATTATCGAGAGCCTTCCTACAAGTTAGAATAAAAAGAAAATTTTCATTATTAAAGCTACATGTAATTTTATGTTATTTTGCATTATTGTTGTTTGGTATCTGAAAATTGATACTAATATTTCTCCATTACGTAGAAGTCACTCACTATAGTGAAAATAACACATTCGTGGTATCTCACCATATATTAGAGATATATAAAAGTTACTTTACACGTAATTTACTTTATCATATTTATATTATATTATAGCTATGATAGTACGCGCTCTCTGATTGGTCAAGTGTTATTGTTTATTTCACCGGAACGCATGGATGCGAAAATGTTATAATATAAAAGCAATAAACATATTTTTGTGCGTTCCTGGTGAAATGAACCACTTGGGATATTGGGAAAACACTCAAAAGGCTGAAAATCTCTCACCTCCAGCTCAAGTTTTTACGCTTTTTTCTTGTTCTCCCAACATCCCACGTGGGTTATTTACCAGGAACGCACGAAAATGTGTTTATTGCTTAAATTAGAGCGGATTTCGTATGAGTGGGAAACGGACGGTACAGTACTGTGACCGTAATCGTACTGTAACCAAATTCTAGTGCCCCATTGGTTCACCAAAATTGTGCAGGCCAGGTCCGGTAACTGTGCGGTAACCGTGCGGTAACGGTGTCCCACTCATACGAAATCCGCTCTATCTATGAAATACCTATATTTCTCCATTTCTCTTGAAATACCTATTACATATTTCTCCATTTCTCCATAGTGAAAATAACAAGGTTTCTCTATAAAGTGGAAGTAAGACAAAATTTGCTTTAATATGTAATGTTATGAAAAACAGAATATTACATGGTCGCTTGGAGATCTTTTCAACACTTGAAGATAAAATGCGTATCCCTGCATGCYCATGTAATATCCTCTCTTTCAGACAAGTTGATGATGGTAATTTTTATGCGTAGTGTGTAACATCTAGTGGCTTAATCAACTATATGGATTGTCAATCAACTTGGATTTTAAATTTTGAAGTTTGATTTATATTGCTGATTTATGATTTGTATAACATAATTATTATTTAAAATGACGATTACGATTTTTAAATGTGGTATATTTGACATGTTTCGGCATTACTTACGCCATCATAATAATAATAATTACATATAATCAAGATATACATGTATTATTATCACTAAACCACAAGGTTTTTTTAATTTTTTATTTTAAAGTGTATTAGAGCAGATGCAGGAAACCCATGAAATAAAATCAAACTAAATACTAGAGTGGTTTTCCGTCAACCATGAAAGCACAATAAGTGTTATAGTTAGTWGTAGTTTGTAATWGACCAATACTAATAGTCTAGCTTGTATCCGATTGATAGGTATAAACATATTCATAACAAAAACAAGTTTTGTTTATTTTAATGGTCGTTTTTGTTATAGTAACTAATTAAACTAAACCTTTAATTTATTCAAACTGTTGTTTGTTAACTATTCGTTTATAGTTTATATGTCTAAAAGTTATATTGAGTAGTCTAGTACTCATTGCTACTAACTAGTTGGTCTATTTCTTTTCATGATTGACGGAAAACCACTCTAATAAATAGCAGCTGAGGAAAGAGGAAATTTGCAAACATCCACCACACAGGGTGACAGCAGTGTGAAGATGTGAGTAGTTTTATAATTTCTCTAGTGCTTTACTTGGACATGTAAGCTATTTTTGATTCAATTGGCATTGATTTATGTACTGGTATCTGGAATAATCATAAGAAGCCTCAAACGAGATTTAGAGTGAACAGTTTGATACTGCAGAGGTGCTGCAAACGTGTTATAATCGGCACACCAAACTGTACGTGCTGTAGTCTAGGGATCATTTTTTTTTTGAATAGTTTAATTTGATAGCTTGGATACGCTTGTGGAATACTACTAGTTTGAACATACTAAATAATAGTACTGCTAATATGCAATATGTATGATTTCTAAAGCGACCAAATATACGATAAACATTTTACAGTAATTATCGAAATTGTTTGTCCATCATGTAATGTCATAATGTGTAATCACCGAGTTATTGTAAGCCATGCAGCTCTCAATGTGTTTGTATTCGCAAATATTTTTTTTTGTTTTTTATTCTTCCATAGGCTTAGTTAAAAATCATTGTGTTGAAATATATAAATTAGCAATGCCTAATATTTCTCAATAGCTGGTAGGTAAATCAGTTTTACAAACTTTGTCGTGCCCTGTGTGTAGTATCAGTTTTCTTTTCCAGCAAACCCTAATTGATGACATATATTTTCAAGAATTCCCGCTGAGAAAGCAAGTGATTTACTTGTCTTTGGTGTCGCTAATTAATCCCCCACAAAAACGCAAAGAACTCGACTTTCAAAGACAACTTTGACTCTAACTTTTAATTGCGGCTTATGTAATTTCTCAGCTACATGTAGTCTGTGATAATAAATACTGAAAGTCCTCATGTTGCCTGTTGGGCCGTACTCAAACCCACACTCCAACTTGCTTTATCATACTTGCAGCTCTGTTAACTGGAAGATGAATTCCATGCTCGATATCACCTTCATTTTCCTCTCTATCATCTTCATTCTCGTTCTCCAAATTCTCACAAAGTTCCTCCTTTGGAATGCTTTTTTTGTACCATTTAGTTTGTGGTCGTTTGAACTTTGGATGCAGAAACTTATAGTACATGACCATCATTAACAGGCCCAGTCCAAATGAAAGAAAGATAAGAGACATGCCAGCAAGCTCAAATTTCAATGAAACATAACGGGTATTGTTGGTGAACCACAGGGTAGAAAAGACTACAGCCTCAATGGCAATCAAAAGATAGTATTTGACAGCCCATCTAACTGTTTTACGTGCCTCAAGTATAAAGTAGCAAAATGTATGGATGTAAGCGATGGTGATGCGTATCAACACTTGGAGACCCTTTTGAGCGGAGAAGAAGTTTACTTTGTGTTTCCAAGTRATGGCCAAAATAGTTATAAAGTGGAGAAACAAAACAAAGAAGAACCAAAGTTTGAATTCAGTTGCAAAGAAGACAAGTACTAATATTCTGGAAATGAACATAAATGCACGCCAAAACCACATTGCTATATAACCATACCATCTTAATTGTCCTTTGTCTGCTTTGGAATCCCTCAAACAGCTAATGTAGTTTACTAAAGCACGGGAATAAGATATAAATGAGAAGCAAATTGAAGCCATTGTCCACATGTCTTGCAGACTTGTTGAGATCAATTTTTCCACAAGTTTTCGACGGATAAGGACATAAAGTTGTAAAACTAGTTGRGGTGCATCTTCAGTGAAGGCAAGTATCATTTGAAGCATGGCAGTGTCGAGGTTCATGGCGATGTAGAGCTGATATTGAGTAACATCTTGAAGTCTTTTGAACTTGATTTGGTAGCCTTTGATGAAGATGCGCCAATACCTAAAATGTTGAAAAACGATAAACTGAAATTAGAGCATAGCACACTAGGCACTGGGTTATTAATAGCATTTATAAAACTCATTAATATTCAAAAGCACAATAGAAATAATAACCCATGAAGAGAGTTGTATATTACATACAGATTCTTGTTCATTTGCATAAACTACTTTATAAAAATAGACCTATTCTTTGTTTTCAGGTTACATCACAGCGGCCATCTTGGACAGGAACTTTACAAAGGATTTCTCATTAGTATCTATCCTCCAACTTGGCCACCTGTATTTTATCTTTTGAATCTCATAGGAATGGGTAGAAACGACCAATACTACACGGCACTTGGACAAACACAAAACAACCGGCTTAAGTTTGAGGATTATAGTATTTAAGTGCCTATAAAGTCAAAATAGTCTAGGTTGGTGTGTCTACTGCAATTATGATCAAAAACCTTGGCAAGGTGTAGGATTCCTTAAAGGGACACTGTCAATGGATGACATGSGCAGTAACAGTCTCACCTCTAACGGACTTTGAAAGTATTACCTTCGAGGAAAATCATTTTGTGGTGCTTTTGACACACTTTGGAATATTCTAGATCTGTTTACGTTTACGAGCTGATTTATGTCGCGCCAACTTGGAGTCATAAACTTGAAAACACTAGCCTAATGTTTTCAAGTTTACTCGCGCATGCGTGCCATTCACAGTGTCCCTTTAAATGTATACAATTACTAATTGAATTAATGAAAACACTGGTGCACTAGCAACCTTGAACACATAACAAATATATAGCATTTATGATTACTTCAATAAYAAAATGCCCCCTATGTGGGTATAGAATTGTAAGTATTTATACCTTTCAAGCAGGCCTAGCTGTAAACAGTGAGTGATCTTAACAGCTCTCCATCCACTCTCWGGTTTTCTTTTAGCCTGCAGTTCGTCGTCYTTGTAGAAACAATAGGACACAATGTTCATTAAGATGGCTGGAAATATRACGAGCATGACTGTAAATGTACCCCACCAGGGGTGGCCGGTGGAAAAATGGTCACTCGCAACTTTTAGATCCGTTGCGCTGTCAGCAAGAAAAGCACATGGACCAACTAGAGTTAGAAAAAGACCAAACCATCCRACATCSCCTCGCCTTTTCCAAAGTTTCTGTAAATAATCTTTCCTCTTTTTCTCGCGTTTTTCTTTCTTCCTTTCCCTCTCTTCGCGTATTATCTTCTTTACGGCCCAACGGAATCTTTCTTTAGGACGGACATTCCATGCAGYRTGACCATTTGCGTGACTAATGCCCTCATAGATTGCGTGACCATTCGTTGTTATGTTGTTCCAAGGGATTTTTCCTTCGCCGCTGTTGTTAATGTTCGGATGATTATAAGGAAATTGCCTTTGATTGTCAAAATGAAGATTTATACTCTCAGGACTGAGCATTTGAAGTCTGTTATTAATGAAACCATTATGAACACTCGAATGATTTCCCTGATTTGCATATGAACTTCCAAGCTGATAGTTTTCCTTTTTTTCAACCAAGCATTCAGTTGATTGAGTTCTTCGTGCACCTCTTTGAATCAAAGTGTTCATTTCTTTAACGATATTCTTGGATTCTTCAGTCAGAAGCACGTGGAAMCGGCCAGGGCTTACGTATCGACTATCAGAACTCGAAGTGAGAAGGAATTCAAAGCTTTGGTCGGACGACAATCTTTTGTATTTTCTCCCATCAATATCATCTTCGTAATTTAAAGCTTTAACCTTTTTGTAATTCTGAAAAACATTAATGACTTGTTGAAGACGACGAGCATCTTCCTCAGTGATTTCTTCGYTTTCKTCGCGGCTTTGTCGGTCTTCATCAAGTGCATCGTTACTTCGAATGCTCAGGACTGAATGATTGGATATCTGACGATTAAATTTCGCAACTATTTGCTTGTCCTTCTCTGTTAATTCAGATACTATTAGTTCTTCTTCGTCCAAACGTTCRGGATCAATCATCATTCCAGCTTTCRTTTAGWGCATAAGCCACTTATTGATCATATTTGTGGTTGGTCCGTCTCAGCCATGTGGTACTTATCTAAACTATATATACAATATAGGTCATTGGAGATTCCGTATAGTAATCGATTTTCACTCGTATTTCAACATACAAATACCTTGCGTTCAATTTGGAGAAATACTTGAAATATTTCTAAACAAAAGGATCTGTATTCCGCATTCACTTTTTCGAGAAGTGGTAGATGCAAAACCACAGGTAACCCGAAGTTGTTATTTCCAACAGTTCATTTATTTATTTATTCATTCATT